ATGAGATCCAATTTTACAGCCACATTGATTCTTTTAAAAAGTACCAGAAAATATACTCCTGAAAAAAATTACGTCTTTGAGAGAATTGCTCTTATGTTCTTGCCAATTTATGTAATTTTTAAAAAAGGATCACACTAGAGGTCTTCTCCCTACTTTAATTTTTAAAACATTGCTGGACGCTAAGTCCTTAATTTCTAGGTAATTTAAGCTCCCTTCTAATTTTCATCCTGCCAACACTAACTAAAACAGCCCCCTTTACAAGCTCCTTTCCCACCACATGATATGTATACATGGCATGCTTTCTTTAACCATATTTATCTATTCCGAAATAATCAAAGTAATAAATGAACCAAATTCCTCACCTGCTCTTTACTATGCTTTTTACATCGGTGGTAGCAATAGCTTGCTTTCATGTAACTTATTCAGAAACCTCTGTCTAGAACACTTACTCAAGCCTTTAAAAATATTTTCTAATCTTGACGCAAGGTGGCTTTCAAATTGTGGTCTGCAGGCTGGTCCAAAGTAGACGGGAGAATCAGATGTGTTTCTGGAGGAGACTCCAGCCAAGACAGGGAAGAAAAGAGGAGGGGCCACTGTTTACACGTGATTTTACTCCTGGACACTCACCAATGACAACTTGGAAGATTTGGGCAGGAGTAGGGCGTGTGCTGCAGCCCCTCCAGCTCCCCTGGAAAATGAGAGCTTCCCTGAAAGACGTCACGCTACCACTGTGACCTTCCTCTCCACAGCCTCCATATCACCACTTTCCCTGTCATTAAGCTCAAGTTCAAATGCCTGCCCTTCTCCCCGGAAGAAAACGACGCTTGGGTACTGTCAAAGGAAAATTGTCTGTGACGGAAGACTGTGCAGTGCTCACAGGACTATGGAGGGTTGGCTGAGCAGCGAACAAGCAAATGCAAAATGAAGATCCCTGGGTTTCAGACTCAAAGTGACTCGGGTCCACTCTTGCTCATTTTTAGAGCTCTTTTTTGCCTCTTAAAATAAAGCAATAAGGAAGAATGATTTTCTCCTATAGGTAGGCCACTTTCTACTTAGGTTTTAATAATCACCTCAGCACTTAACTGCATTTTGTGAGCTATATTAGTGTGACACAGCCAAAAGGAAAGAGACTTCTATGTATGCCTTCTCCATTGCGCAAGAGAACAAGCGGATTGGTTTCAATGACGATAGTGAGGTTGGAGAAATGAAGTAAATACAACATGAACTTGTCCTATACCTTCTTTTCCTGAGCCTGTTGCTCCTTTTCAATCGTCTTCCTGAGAGTCGATTCTAGATTATCCTTCTCTCTGCACACTTCCAGGTAACATTCCTGCACAGCAGCCATCTCCTTATTCATCTTATCTAATTCAGACCTTGGATACACAAAACCAGCAACTAAATGAGAACAAAAAAAATACAAGGGCTGCACCACAATTTTCCTCTAACCTATGGAATAGGAGAATATTGTCTCTACAGCTTCATGGGCAGCTAAACTCTTTTATTCTCACCTAAGTTGCAAGCGAGTCCTCTCGTAAACTTCAAAGAGCTGCTGCTTCTCCAAAGCATGCTTTGCTAACAGGCTTTCACGTATCTGGGCTTTCATGGCTTCATGGTGCTGCTGGTAAGTTCTCTCACACCTAGAAACAGCGGACAGCGAGCGGAATCTAAGGCAGTGCCCAACATTACTAGACACGCCAAGATGAGCTGGTTTCCCTTCCCTCCTTCCTTCCCCTCCCCTCTAATGCAAATTATAATTAAGGTCAGATTGGGTTTCCCCAACCAAAAATGGTAATAACTAATTTTCAATTGATGATCTTATTATGAGAATCTGCAAATTTTTCTTTCTTCAAATGTTTCTAGAAAAAAATTAGAAACTTGGATGTGAGGATGCGCCAGTCTTTCAGAGCTAATCGCCTGTTTACAAAACAATGAATTGAAATAATCGAGGGTGTGGTTCCAAAATTTCAAGTAATCTATTAATACACTAAACACAAATACTAGCAATACCCAACTCACCAGTAAGTTATGCTCCAAAAGTCTGTTTCTAAGTATATGATTTGGTATTTGGAAGACATATTCCCTCCCACAGATTTCTTCCTTATAAAGAATAGTTTCCCAGACTAGCCTTTAAAACACCATTAAGTATCATTTCAATGAACTACCATTTTGATGGTGTTATAGAACACAACCCCCTACATAATCATTTCTATGGAAAATGGGTTCCAAATTCTAATTTTAGAAGCTGAGGACTCATCTCCTCCAATCCAAGATCACAATAGGGGTGTGCACGCCATCATTTCTCTTGAATTCTATTTTTTTGGGGCGGAAATAAGGGGATGGCAGGCATTAGGCCTCTATGTAGACCTTACCTAACCACAGTTTCTTGTTTATCATGGTCAAAATCTTGTACCATCTGTCTCATTTGATTACATAACTCCTGATTTGTATTTCTCAGTTTTTCCTCAGTTTCTTTAAGTTCCTAGATACAAAAGAATAAAGTATTTAGAGGAAATAAACATCATTTTCATCGATTAGCCTAATGTCGTTTTTTAACATCCTCTGTGCTTTATCTCTACCCTTTAACATTATCTGACATAATATTTTCATAATTTTACAAGTCTCTTCATGCCTTGATAAGAGTGTAGAATAATTTACTTGACAAGTAGCTTTCTGTTTGGTATAAAAATTAAATTTTTGTATTTCATTGGAAATATATGAAATGAAAACATTTAACCAGAGACATATTGGCTAACTGATGCCTTAAAATAAGTATTAGAATTCAATAATCTTTAGTAACCATCTAAATAAGCAAAGTTTTACTTTTGGTCAAGGGACTGGCTCAGGAGGAAAAAACACCTCTGTTAGCCATGCAATGTATAGACAGGCAACTGGATTTATACTAATTTACATTCTAATGAAACTATTACCCATGACCAACACTACAGGGAAATACCTGGAATTCTTAATCGCCTACTAATATACCTGTCTGCTAAATCACACTGACTCTGTATTTTTTAAAAGTCCATTATATCTTTTGAATTTTATGAGGCCATGAAAACTTTCACAAAACACAGAAAATTTTAATTACCTGATTTTGTTGTTGTAAAACTTGATTTTCATTTTTAAGTTGCAGAATATCATCTCTGACAGTCATATCAGAAGTAGAAGAGTCGGGCCATAATTGATTAGTTGGTTTTTCTGAGGTGTCTGTTCTAGTCTAAATGTTTTTAAAAAGTCAAAAGTTTTTCAGGTTTTTTAAAAAGTCTAGGTACTCATTTTGAAGTAATTTCATACTTACAAAGAAACTGCAAAAACAGTATAAATAAATTCCATATATCTTTTACTGTCATCCTCTATAGAAGCAAAGGGAAAGGCTTAAAAAAAAAAAAAACATAAGGGCATGGCCACCATCACTGACACACATGTGAAAGTGTATCTGTATGACAAATGCCATTAGTGATTTCAATATAAAACAAAGTACCAAGATACCTGAACTCAGGTTGAGACTCAAAATCAGCGTCCTAGTCTCCTAAATCTTAGCACACTCACCAAAATGCTTAAACAAATCAATCCTGATCTAACACAAATTGAGACACAAGCTTTCATTCTCATCCTTTTCAAGAAACATATGAAAACAGTTACAACAGCTTGATTTAAAGATGTTAGATGTACTGAGGGGAAGGGAGATTTTTCTTATTTGATTGTTAATATTGAAATCAATGTTGAACTCATCAAATAGTTACTCAGGAGTGGGAACCAGACTGGGCAGGCCTTTAACACTAAAAACACACTATTATTTCTGGAAAGTGAATGAGACACGACTAAAATTCTATAATAAACACCATAGAACAGCTTGCATCCTTTGCTTTAATAGGACTGTTTTAATGAACACAACTCCTACTTTAAAGGATCACGAGAAAAGGATCAGTACTAAAGTAGGAAGTAAACAATTATTTCCATCTGGGAGGAAAAGGAATACACTACCTACATGAATTCTCCCCCTTCCCTCTCGTTTTAGTTACTAGGTCTTCTATGCACTATTTTATATTCGGAGTATAGATGGGTTGAAATTTGTGAAATATGGAAGGGTTTAAGCAGGGCAACCCTAAAGATCTCAGTGATAGTACAACCTTGACCTATTTATTAGTCAAGTGTTTGGGTTTCAATTTGCCTAAAAATTGACTCTGTAATCTCTGAAAAGTCACAAAGTCCTCCAGCATCATTTTTCTCATCCATAAAGGAGACTAACTGAAGGATATAAATAAAGGTGGATTTCAATGGCTCTGACATAACCTGATTCTGTGCCTCTCCCACCAGTACCACCACTGCTATACAATTAATTTCCTTATATAGAATGACTCTCATTATAGGAATATGGACCAGAGAAACCTCATGGATGGCATGCTAAAGAATTTCCTTGTGGGGAGTTTAACTAGATTTTAGAGCACTGTTGGTACAAGTTAATATTGAGTAAATGCAGATACCTTGTTACGTACAATGATTCCTTGGATTTGTGTTAAAGGAATTTTATCTAATTGGTATTTCATTACTAGGTGCCAAGAGTAACCAGAAAATATATTCCTCTAAATGGCATTTCTTTCTTTAAATTTTACTTCTAAAAAAAGTCAATGAACCCCTGAAAGACAAAGGTTTCATTTAAATGTGAAAACTGTAAGCGTTCTATTGAGCTTTTTAAAATGGCATTTTAACTTTACAAATTCTACGAACCTCAACCTCAATGCTTCTTACATCCTTCCCCACTTGTTGGAGATCTTCAATTTTCTTATGACAGACTTTGAGATCATTTTGTAACCGAGACACCAGACAACGCTTCACTGAGTTGCTACCCAGCAAATGCTGCACTTCTGCTTTCAACTTCAGAATGACCTCATCTTTGGAAAGTTCTTCATTTGGGTCTTCTTGCTGTACAATGCTAATGGAGAAATTATCATATTTAAAATTAAATCAAGTAACAAATCAAGCATGGTTACTCTTTAAAAGTTACTAACTACAATGGTGATCATATTTTGTGACAACAATATACTAGTATTTCAAAAACAATTTTAAACTTTGTCATACACAAGGATATCACTTTTTCTGTGTTCCCATATACAGAAATGCATTTATTCATAGGAAGACCAGTGTTAAGCCTAGTCCTGCTACCTCACTGAAAGTTTAGCCATGTGAACTTCAATATGGCATGCACTTTTGTTTCTGGTAAACTACATGATGTACATGCATGTCCTTTATGACTCTAACAGAAACAAAAGTAAAGGAGGAAAAAAATAGTAAATACTAGCCATCCTAACCAACAATTTCTGTATCTCTTGTACTATAATACAAGTCTGAGTGGATATCTGCGCAACTGGAAAAAAAAATAAATAAAAGCAATTTAATCCCAACTTTAGTTTCAGTCAATTTCAAAATTGGAATGAGAATTTCTGCTCCTTCCCATAATGAATTAAAAGACCTAGGTTTATCTTCCTGCCTTAAAAAAAA